TTTTCTTTAAATGGGTTGTAGAGAGACTACCACAGAAGTGGCTAATCAAAGAAGTCTATCATTTATCTCCTACAGCATAGGTCGTCCATTTTATGTTTATAGGCTTTTTGCTGTTAGCCAAAATAAGTCATTCCCAAAAGAATTCTGATGGTCAAACTCCATCCAGTGCGTCATCACGCCTTTTGTTCTTTGTCTTTGACTCATAAAGCCAGTTTATCTGAGGTTATGATTTGCTGATTTTGATAAGTAATTATAGGAAGTCTTAAATAAGTTATTACCGTATTTAAACCCTTATCAACATTTCTCTTAGATAAAAAACAATAATAAAAAAGTATAATATAAAGCCTATTAAAATAATATAAATAAAATGTTATGTTTTAAAATATTATTTTTATAAATGCATATTTAAAAAAATTTATAATATTTTAATGATTTAAAACCTGAAAAAATGCCCCCATCATTTCATGAGGCTCACGCATGCAAATTTTGCGTGTCGTTCCTCTCTGTCGCCAGATTTCGTGCCTCCCCGCCGCTCTTCGTGCGATGTCCGAGTTAAAAGGAACTAGCATCAGCAAAAGGTTGTTTGCAAATGTACAAATCTTTTCTGAAGTTTAAAGCTAATCTTCTAATTTTTTAGCGAGCTCAAGCGCCAAATGAAGATGCAGAAGAAGCTGGAAGAGAAACTACTCAAGGAAACTTCTGCGGCACCTAAGACAAATAGCGCGCCTAATACAGTTCAAAAGGAAGACGATCTTGATCCTACAGTTTGTTTGAACATTCTTACCTTTTAGCAATATTATGAACTCCGAAAGTCGACTATAATTGAGCTAAAATCGTCAGGTCCCAACCCATACCCTCACAAATTTCATGTTTCAATCTCTCTGGGTGACTTCATCTCAACATATAGTTACTTGGACCCCGGTCAACATCTAGATAATGTCACAGTTAATCTCTCTGGTTAGAACCATTTGAGGCTCTCAAGTTTCGCCTTTAGCCTCGTTTTTATCAGTAGTATTGAACTGTAATTTTTTAAAAAGGTCGAATCCACGCCAAACGTGAATCTGGCTCAAAGTTAATATTCTATGACATAATGGCGGAGGATCACCGTCTGCAGGTGATGGCGAATGTCGCATTCTACAAGAGCGAAGATGATTTCTTAAAAATCAATAATATTTTACGTCGTGGAGACATACTTGGATGTATTGGGATACCAGGTATATTTATTTAACTTAACCATCATGTGGGTCTTCTGTATTTAATAGTTTTATTTAATCCGCTTAAAGTTGTTTGCTTTTGGAATCTCTAGG